GCTTTTTTGTTGCCGCCTGGGTCGGCAACTGCGCTCCGTGCTCTTCCAGGACTTGAGAACTACACTGAGTCAAAGCACTGTCTGCAGTGCTTGAAACCGGGCACAGGCACTATGGGCGCCCCACGGGCTTTCTCACTTCAGCTCAGCAGAACCACCAGAGGATTCGGCCTCCGACCTACGTCTTACGACGAGGAGTTCGAGACGAGCCGTAACTTGCTCACGGCCAAACATGTTGATGACATCAACCTGGCCGGTACTGAGGACACGATTGACAAGTATGTCAAATGAGCTGAGGATACCTTTGGGAAGTGTAAACTCAACAAGCGCACATATACGAAATGCGCTGTGAGGTACACCAAGGATGAGGACGGCAATGCCACTTTGGATCCAGATGAATATATTTAACAGCTCCGTTCTATACAACGTCCTGAATTGACCGGTGCTGACGCTGACGGTTAAGCGACCGAGATGGTGGCATATATGTTCGTCCGCCTCAGAGGTGTGCTGGCATACGCATTGATCACCCAGATCTGGTTGATGGTCTATTTTGTATCTCTCCAACGCGTCCAAGAACCGACCAACATTCAAGTGCGACGATCGAGCGCGATCACCAGAAAGCTACAGGCCTGCCCGAAGGATATCGTCTACCAAGCGATGAGCCCCACGGGCGAGGTCAACTTACGTAGCGACTCAGGCTATCGACGCCTGAGTGGAGACGCCGACGACGACGCCAATGGCTATGGCATTCGCTGGGCACGCCTGCTACGACGTGGAAACACGCCGTCTGGCAAGCCTGCCGTTCACTTGATTGATGCGCACTGCAAGTCTCACCGCTCGCAAGTCCGCTCAAGCAACTCAGCAGAGACACTTGCAGCAGCCCATAATTTTGAGGACTGTTCTCCCACGATTGTGACTCAGCACGAGCTCCATGCGGGGCCACTCGCACCCACTCAGTTGAAAGACATACTTGGGGTGGGTGGCCTGAGCATCAATGTCACCTTGGCCATCGATGCTGAGTCTGTCTTTAAGCCCTTGTCAAGCAAAGACTTGAAGAAGCCGACTGAGTGCACCCTTTTAGGACACATACGTTAGATACGACAGATGATGGAGCGCGGAATCGTGCGTAGCATTGAATTGTGTGACGCCCGCGATATGACTGCGGATTGACACAAGAGAGAGCATTGACAGAGAAACGCTCCTACAAGTCATGGGAGGTATACAGACCTTCAAACATGACCTGAAGAGACATACGCCATATCGGGCTGGCCTGACATCCAGGTCGAACGCCGCCTGATGCGTGTGCCCTACATCCGCGAGGCAATTCGCTGACGGGTCCAGCTCCTTTGGGTCCGTCTCCTTTCCTGTCTTCGTATAGGTTAGCTGCTGAACTGTTCTCGCTATATGCGTGGCGGACACACGCTTCGCCTCCCTCCCCCCCCCCCCCGACTCTACAGCGAGCTAGGGGACGTAAGGAGCGGACGCGAGCGTGCGCCCGCGGCCGTCTTGGCTCAAAGCGGCCGGCCGCCTAGATTTGACTGTGCCTCACCGCGAGGCACACTATCGCTATCGAGACTAAAAGGCATCCCCCTTTACTTCACATGGCTTCCCCTCTTGCATTGAGACTATCGCTACTACGATACAACCGAGCTCGAGCTTGGCTTCTCCTGAGGCGAAACTGTTGGCGGGGCCTCCCAGCCCCCTTCAAACTTCTTGAGCGTCTTGGAGGCCTCTTGGGCCTTTTTGGGGGCCTCTTGGGGCCGTCTTGGGCCTCTTGGGCGATATTTGGGGGCACTTGGGCCGTCTCGGGCCGTCGGAAGGCCGAACAAAGCAAATGCCACAACCCTTGAACAACTCATGGGAAATCAATGATTTTGTCATTTTTTTCGGGCCTTCCTGGAGGCCCTCTTGGAGGCCGTCTTGGGCCATCTTAGTGCCATCTTCGGCCGTCGTGGTGGGCCCCTGGCCCGTCCGACGCCGTCGGAAGCCGTTTGGGGAACCTCTCTGAGCCGATTTGGGGCCCCTTTAGAATGCTCCAGGGCCGTCTTGGAGGCCATCTTGGGCGTCTTAAAAGCCTCCTGGGCCGTCTTTGTGCCCTCTTCGGGCCGTCTTGGGGGCCTCTTGGGCAGTCTTGTGGGTATCTTGGAGGCGATTTTTGGGCGATCTTTGGCGTATCTTGGGCTGTACCGGGCCGTCGGAAGGCCGAAGCGAAGCAAATGTCAACATCCTTCGAAAACCTATGGAACATCATAGATGTCGGCTTTTTGTTGGCCTTCCTGGAGGCCCTCTTGGAGGCCTCTTGGGCCGTCTTGGGCCAGCTTCGAACCAACTTCGGCCATCTTGGTGGGCTCCTGGCCCGTCTGACGCCGTCGGAAGCCGATTGGGTGGCTTTCCTGGGCCGAGTTGGGGCCCTCTTGGGGTGCTCCAGGGCCGCCTTGGAGGCTATTTTGGGCGTCTTGGAGTCCTCTTGGGTCGTCTTTGTGCCCTCTTCGGGCCGTTTTGGGGGCCTCTTGGGCAGTCCTGAGGCTATCTTGGAGGCCTCTTTGGCGCTGTGGGGGCGATCTTGGGGGCCTCTTGGGCCGTCTTGGATCGTCGGAAAGCCGAGAAGTAGCGAATGCGAAAATCCTTCGAAAACTTAAGGAACATCAGCGATTTTGGCCTCTTCGGGCCCTCCTGGAGGACCTCTTGGAGGCCTCTTGGGCCGTCTTGGAGGCCTCTGGGGGGCCTCTTGGGCCGTCTTGGGCCGTCTTGGACTCTCTTAGGCCGTCTTGGAGGCCGTCTTGGACCATCTTGGGCGGACTTGGAGGCCATCTTGGACCATCTTGGAGGTCATCTTGGGCCAACATGGCCATCTTGGAGGCCATCTTGAGCCGTATTGGAGGATTTTGTGTGGACGCTGATGCGGTTTACGCAGCCTTCCGGGAGCCTGGCGGAACGGGCCGAAGCCCCAGGGGGAGTTCTTTTGGAAAAAGAAACAAAACCGATAGGATCTAGCACGCCAGGCACCACTGCGATGAATCGACAGGGGGCGGCGGATCGAAGACGCCTACGGCGAATCACCGCCGCCCCCTGCCTTTTTGGAAGTACCTATGTGGCCGAACGTTGAGGCCAGACCTGCCAAGCTATCGGATCATGTGTTCCCCGAATAGGTTTGGAAAGTTTTCGGGGAACACATGGGCATCTTGAAGGTCATCTTGGCCGTCTGGAGGCCATTTTGATCCTTTCGGGCCTTCTTGGAGGACGTCTTGGAAGGCTCTTGGGCCGTCTTGGAGGCCATCTTGAGCGTTTTGGAGACCTCTTGGGCCGCCTTGGGGGCCTTTTGGGGCCGTCTTGGGGATCTTTGGGGGCACTTGGGCCGTCTCGGGCCGTCGGAAGGCCGAAAAAAGCAAATGCCACAATCCTTGAACAACTCATGGGACATCAATAATTTTTGCCTTTTCTGGCCTTCCTGGGGGCCATCTTAAGGCCATCTTCGGCCGTCTTGGTGGGCTCCTGGCCCGTCTGGCACAATTTTCAGCCGTTTGGGGAGTCTCTCTGGGCCGACTTGGGGCCCTCATGGAATGCTCCAGGGCCGTCTTAGAGGCCATTTTGGGCGTCTGCAAGGCCTCCTGGGCCGCCTCTGTGCCCTCTTGGGCCGTTCTGGGGCCATCTTGGAGGCCTCTTGGGCGATCTTTGGGCGATCTTTGGGGCCTCTTGGGCCGTCTTGGGCCGTCGGAAGGCCGAAAAGAAGCAAATGTCAACATCCTTACAAAACCAAAGGGGAATGCGTGTTTTTGGCGTTTTCTGGCCTTCCTGGAGGCCTCTGGGAGGCCTCTTGGGCCGTCTTGGGCCAGCTTCGAGCCGACTTCGGCCATCTTGGTGGGTTCCTGGAACGTCTGACGCCGTCGGGAGCCGTCTTGGGGGCCTCTCTGGGCCGACTTGGGGCCCTCTTGGGGCGCTTCGGGCCGTCTTCGAGGCCATCTTGGGCGTGTTGGAGGCCTCTTGGCCCGTCTTGGGACCCCCTTGGGGCCGCCTTGGAGGCCTCTTGGGCCGTCATGGGGTCATCTTGGAGGCCTCTTGGGCGATCTTGGGGCGACCTTGGGGGCCTCTTGGGCCGTCTTGGGCCGTCGGAAAGCCGAAAAGGCGCAAATACCAAAATACTGCAACAACCTAAGGACAAACAATGATTTTTGCCTCTTCGGGCCTTCCTGGAGGACCTCTTGGAGGCCTCTTGCGGGCCTTTTGGGAAGTCTTAGACCACATTGTGGCCATCTTGGGCCGTCTTGGATAAATCTTGGGGCCATCTTAGCCGTCTTGGAGGCCATCTTGGCTGTCTTGGAGGCATCTTGGAGGCCATCCTGGGCCATCTTGGCCGTCTTGGGACCATCTTGGGCCATCTTGGGGCGGAACAGGAATTGACTTCCGCAGTTTCTGGGAGGCCGGCGGGACGGGCCGAAGCCCCAGGGGGAGTTCTTTTGGGAAAAGAGCCAGAACCAAAACCGTAATGGCACCCCTTCGATGAATCGACAGGGGGCGGCGGATCTATTGGGTTTCAGCCCATCCCGCCACCGTGCCTGTCTCGGGGCCCTCTTGGCCCGGTTTGGGGCGTGCTCGTTCCCAGAGAGGCACGCGGGGAGCGCAGAGGAACAGTGGGAGGCACGCTTGGAACGCCAGAAAATTTGAGAATTTGGGGCCCAGGCCCCAGATTCTCAAATTTCAATCCTGAGGGCTGAGGACTGAGAACTTCAAGGAACATGATGGCACTCCAACTCGTGCCGGGCGGACGGCGGCTGATTATAAGACAGTCGGGGCGCTGAAGAAGGCACCCTTTTCTTTGGGGAGGGGCTCCGTGCTCCTTCATTGTTGTACAGTTTGCCTTCCGTTTTCCTTAGGTGTTCGATGGGAAGCCAAAGTTCAGGGGCCTCGTTTCTTATTTGAATTAGGGTTCCTTGGGTCAACGCCCCGACTGCATCCCGGAAAGAGAGCTCCAAGGGGCCCGAGGACATTGCGTTTCGTGCCTCGAGGCGCGGTGGCGGATTTCTGCACGCGATGACATCACGGATGGTCGTTGTCACCATTCGGGGAGACGTAAGACTTGAGTGAGCCGGAGCTCGGGTTTGCCGGCGTCTTTTTGTTGACGAGCGCGTTTTGGGTTTTGACGGTCCAGTTTTCGCGGGATGTCAGCAGCGGGAGCTCGTTTCGAATTTCAGGTTGGGCCTCGTCATTTTTATGATGGCCCCGTCAGGTCAGCCTGAGTCCCCCGTACCCAAGTCTTACGTCTCCCCGAGCCATGTTTTCGTTTTTCTTCGTCGCTGGGACCGCAGAGTGGACTTCGCAAAAGGAGGGCGAGAAGATTGCGGCGGACGCCAACAGGTCGAAGAAGAAGCTCGCAGAGATTGAAGCGATCAGACGGTCTTCGAGCGACGCGGATCTGCTTCTGAAGAACAATACGCACATTTTGGGGATCATCAATGAGACCTTGACCAGACGTAAAAGCGCAGACGTGAGAATACTTCACAAGATAGAGGGCCAAACGAAGGTTTTGGAGCAGGACGCGAAGGTTCGATCAGAGAAGAAGGCGGCCCTGAGCAGTGCCACTGACAAGGCATCGCGGGCTTCCGCGGCTGCCAAGCAGGCGAGGCACGCCCTGGAAGAGGCGAACCGCACCTTCGCGCGCAAGCTGGCGGACAAGCGGAGCGTGGAGGCGGCTCTTTCTGCGAATTTTTGTTGTTGATGGGGCTTCCTGTCGAGCCGACGTGATCCTGACCCTCGGAGTAGGAAAACGTGCCCATACCGCTACCCTCGCCTCGTTTCTGTCTTTTGCTCGGCCTCCTGAGAGGCCCTCGTCGCCACCGCCTGATTCGCCTCGAAGTTCCGGTCAGAACGCACCCTGGGAGAAGTCCGGGGAGCAGCGGTATCGGCACCTCTCGGTTTTTCCAGTTGAACCGACGTGATCCTGACCCCTGGCGCGCGAGGGCACCCAATTGCGCTTCCAGATTTATGATGTTCCAACATACTTTAGCCTTGACCACCAGAAAGAATTTCGAGCACCAGAAGCAAGTACCGAAACTCGATTGTTTTCACGTGTCGGGCTCTGGGAGACACTCGCCCGACACTCTTTCGACACTTATCTGGGTGCTCGAAATTCTTTCTGGGATGTGGCCCGCCCTAAAGCACAATGGGAGCAACATAATTCCAGACTCCACCCTACCTCGCCAGATCCAGACCAGAATTCCTAATCCAAGCCGTCGATTTCGCGGGGGAGGTCAGCGCAGAGCTGGCCACCGAAGGCCGCGTGTGGGGGGGGCGGCAAGGAATGGGGCGGGGGTAGGCGGGGGGCTAGTGGAGCTTGGGAAGGCAAGCGGAGGGATGGGTAGATGAGGGGGAGGGAACGGTGCGCAATATTTGGAGGGTGTATCTGTTTATATTCCCTACCTAGGCTCTGCCTAGAAGGGTTCTTACTCTCTAGCTTAAAGGGGCCGGGCAGTGGAAGGCGCCCCGGGCGGTTCCCCCAGTCCCCGCCCCGCGGTTCCCCCCAGTCCCCTGGGAGCTTTAGCTTTAGCTTTAGTTTTAGCTTAGCTTTAGCTTAGCTGTAGCTTAGCTTTAGCTCAGCGTTTCGCTTAGCTTTTCGCTTAGCGTTTAGCTTAGCTTTAGCTTAGCTTTAGCTTAGCTTTAGCTTAGCTTTAGCTTAGCTGTAGCTTAGCTTTAGCTTAGCTTTAGCTTAGCTTTAGCTTAGCTTTAGCTTAGCTTTAGCTTGGCTTTAGCTTAGCTTTAGCTTAGCTTTAGCTTAGCTGTGGCTTAGCTTTAGCTTAGCTTTAGCTTAGCCTTAGCTTAGCTTTAGCTTAACTTTAGCTTAGCCTTAGCTTAGCTTTAGCTTAGCGTTACTGTTACTACTAATGCTGCTTTCCTAGGGGTTCCAACTCCTAGGTAGGGTCGCACTGGGATAATTTGTATAGAAATGCCGGATCTGACCTGATCTCTGGCGCGCGAGCGGGGTTGGGTCCGGAGCGCTCCTGGAGGGCCCCAAGGTCGCCCCAGAAGTCCCCAAGAGGGCCCCAAGACGGGCCAAGAGGGATCCAAGAGGCTTTTCAGACGGTCCCAGAGGGCCCCGAGTCGCCGAGCGATCGGTCCAATACGCTCGAGATAGCCTCCAGACGGCCCATGAGGCATCCAAGACGTCCCCAGAGGTCTCCAAGAGCCATCCCAAGAGAGCTCCGAGAGGCAAACATCCCATTCCATTGGGAAAACATGCATTTTGATCATCTGCATTTTTTCAGCCTTCACAGCGTCCAAGACAGCCCAAGAGGCCTCCCAGATCACCCCAAGAGGGCCCCGAAGCGTCCAAGAGGGCCCAAAGGCTGCCCAAGAAACGCCCAAACCGGCCCGAGAGGGTCCTCAGAGGGCCTTCAACGGGGTCCGACAGGGGGAGCTCGAAATGTGATTTCGAGGGGCGCGAGCACAGTTTGGTTTACGATGGGTCGTGGACTCGGGGACTTGAACATTCGAAACTTTACAGGGAATCGCGGCCTCGGAGACGCAAATGTTCAATGATTTACGAATGATCGTGGCCTTGGGAACGCGAATATAAAGTAAAGTACTAAGGATGTTTGCTTCGGCGACACGAATTTTGTGTAATTTGCGAGGGATCTTGTCCTCTGGGACGCGAATATCGTGAATATGCCAGGGGTCGTGACATCGGAGTTGCGGTAATTTTCGTGGTTTCGGGGAGGTGCGTATTCTCTGAAGTTTCGGAGACGCGGATATTGTATTATTTACAAGTGATCGTGGCCTCGCGGACGCCAACATCGCATAATTGATAAAGGATCGTGGCTTCGGTGAACCGAGCATTGTATACTGCATATGGGGTCGTGGCCTCGGGGGATCTCGGGGGCGCGAACATTTTGCAATTTACAGAAAGGATCGCGGCCTCGGAGAAGCAACAATTGAGAATTTGAAAAGGATCGGGGAGGCGAACACGGCGTAATGTTCAAAAGGGATCGTGGCTTCGGGAAAGCGAATCCACCGCAATTTACGAGGGATCGTGGCCTCGGGGACGCTTGCCTGGCGTAATTGTTGGCCGAGAGCATGCTATGATTTACGGAGGATCGTGAAGTTTCGGAAGCGCGAACATTCCGTGATTTACGAAGGATTGTGGCCTAGAGGACGCGAGCGTTGCTTAAATTACGAAGGATCGTGGCCGTTGGGGTCGCGAATCGATGTATTTGTACGTGTCCCGCGGCCCCGCAGGAATTCAGGCAGCGCGATTTGGGGGTGCAGAAGTTGGGAGTAGCGAGCCGAAGCCACGCAGCTTGAAGACCCCGCAACGGGACCAGCGGATATACACATATACGTGTTCTTATATGTATATATAGATACATAGATTTGAATGTGTGCCTGTACACACATATATGTATATGTATATATATATATAGATACATATAAGTACATGTGCATAGCATCATGCAAAAATACATGCATTGATATACACATACATACCTATATGCCCACACACCTATCCACCCACCCACCCACTCACCCACGTACATGCGTGCATGCATGCATGCATACATGCATGCGAGTTACAAACAACACGCACACATGTAAATAGTGCGAAGGCCTTCCGACTGGTGCCGCCATCCTGAAAGGGAGACAACGACGACGACAATGGCGGTGGCGGCGACGACGACGACGACGCTGACGCGGGCCAGAGTCCTCAGGGATGCTTCCTAGGTTCTCTTAGGAAGGTTCCTGGGGGCCTCTGGGCAGGAATTCTGGGGCCTCTCGGGAGCCTCTTGGGGGCCTCTTGGGAGCATCTTGCTCTTGTGGGCCTCTTGGGAACCTCTTGGGGCCTCCTGGGAGCTTCTCAGGGCCGAGGGCTCGAACTTTGCGCCTCCCGCCCTCCAGAGGAGTCGTGCGACGAGCCCCCCCCCCTCAAAGTCACGCGACTGGCACCCCCCCCCCCCCCAGGGTGGGTCGCACCGCGCGCCTCCGCAGTCTGGGGACCCTGGACGACCTGAGTGAGGACACGCCACCTCCTACTGCTCCTTCGCCTCCTCGTCCTCCTCCTCCTCCTCCTCCTCCTCGTCCTCCTCCTCCTCCGCCTCCTCCTCCTCCTCCCTCTTCCCCCTGAGTTGATTGACTGCACGAGTGCGGCCCAAGACTCTCGATCAGCCGCAGAGCGGCGGGCGGGCTGGCAACGAAACATCCAGAGGCGGCCCTGTCGAAGGCGAAGGAGCACCTGGAGGACGTCGTCCAGAACATCGGGTCCTCGGACGTCATTGCAGCGGACATGGACGTGAAAGACAAGGCTGAGAGCCACTCATCACGCCCACATTCTTCCCATCCTCGCACCCTCTGTCGTCTTCGTCCCCGAGCCTCGGGCGTCACGATCCATGAGCCTGCGCCGAGTCGGACGATCCCGCCGGAGAGGGAAAGGTTGAGAGTTTAGTTTGTTCTGCTGGTGTTCATGAAGGCGTACACACTGATCGCCGGAGGATCGCGCCGCATCGCCGATGCGTCGGCGATGCGGCTTGATGCGTAGCTCGATTTTCTCCACGCCGACGTCGCCGATGCATCGCCCACGTCGCCAGTGTATCGCCAATGCATCGGCGACGCATCGCCGATGTATCGCCGATGCGGCGCGATCCGCCGCCCCACCTGCCCTGACCCCACCTGGGAGGCCTCTGGCCAAAGACGGCGGCGAGAAGCTGACACCGACTACGGCAGCGGCGCCGCCGCCGCCGACGGCGGCGGCGGCGCCGCCGACGGCGACGACGAAGGCGAGGACGACGACGACGACGACGACGACGACGGCGACGACGACGACGACGGCGGCGGCGGCGACGACGCCGACGGCGACGACGAAGGCGAGGGCGACGACGGGGACGACGGAGGCGACGAGGCGGCTCCCCCTCCACGCGGGCGCCCTGTGGCTCTCCGCGGCCCCTCCTGGGGCCGCCTGCCTGCTGGGAGCGCGAGGCCACTGCCTCGGACCACTTCGGGGCCCCGCGGGCCGCCACGTGGCCCCCGTCCCGGGCTCGCTTCGAGCCCTCCGGGTTGAATTCGATTCGATGTCGACGGATTCCGATTCCGGTTCGATGCGACCTCGGATTCCGATTCGGAGTCCGATGTCTCAGTAGAGGCCTACTGACCCGTCGATTTCCGCCGATTCGAGTTCTCCCGGCTCGGCTGCCGATTTCCGCCGATCCAACTCGTTTCGATCGCCGATCCGATTTATCGATTCAATTATGAGCCCTCCTGCCTGTCCCCCTCGAATCGCGCAACAAGCAGGGGCTGTGGCCCAGGATGAGATCTTTCTGGGGATGCCAGTGACACACGTTCGGTCCTTGCGGTTGTAAATATCATCGTCGCAGCAAAGCAACATACAGGGAACGGCTTGGAGAAGGAGCACCTACTTTTCAAAAAGGGCTCGGTCGTTCCTTAGGCTTACATGCGTGCATGCGTTATCTATCGTTCCTTATGCGTTATTGATTAATTATCGTTCCTTACCCGTTACTCCTTGAAAAAAGGGCCTCGTTCCTTATTCATCGTTTCTTAGGTCAGGCCGATGACTGTATAGCGGAGTCCAGCACCGACATCGTGCCTGGATGCAGAAAAAAGGGGCTGCTTGCGGAAGAACGCTCCTGCTTCACATGATGAATCAAGATTTGTAGAATAATCAGGTTTCGACCCACATGGGAAATGCCATCCCGGGCCAACACACGCCTATACAATACATATTTTGGTCCCTGAACGATATTTCTGATGGAGACAAGTGCAACGTCAAGGGACTGAGCCGAACGAAGAAGGATAACGCTGAGCCTCAAATGCTAATAGCGAGATTCAGCCCCTTCTTTGAAACAGCCGAGAGAATGATCGATGAGGCGGTGAATCGCTCCAAGACGGGGGCAATCCAGATATTTTCTGTTGGTGGGGATCATCGATGTTTGCAATCGGAAAATGGTACATTCAAGGTGAACGTCATGTGAGATTGCATTGCCACTTTGCTGCGGGCACGCATGAATCAGCGCGCTGAACGGTACAAGGCTGCGGGGATTCAGCCTAGAATGATGATTTGGATGGCGTTTGCTTGTATCGGAAATTGCGTCATACCCGTTCGATACATACAATTTTGTCGACCACCATGAATCTTACACATTGGACAAAAATGGTACAGTGGTAAGGGTTGCTGGGGGTGAACTACTGGCGGATCACATGATGGAAGCAACAAAATTTGCGGCCTGGTTCTTCTGTCAGCCCTCTGGCGGCTCAGCCGCCCAGGGGTGGATCTGCGAAGATGAGTTGCGAGAAGACGGGCTTGCGAAGGTAGAAACTACATATGACGAACATGTGTCGCATTGGACCAACTGGTGTCCTACTGAGGACGGCACTCCTACTTCGATGTGGGGAACGTTCCCTGATGTGGGGAACGTTCCCTGTCGCTGAGCCACTTTTGCAAAGATCATTCCCTGCCGCCGCGACTGGTGCAGGACATGGGGCGCGACAGCCCATGTTTTCCCAAGAATGGCGAGATTTCATTCCGAAGGGAAGAGGGCATCATACGCATTTGCAATGGACCATTTCTTTCTCGAAAGGAGCTTGCCATACATTCTTGGCATGCCCTCTGAGGGAAGAGACGGAGGAGGAGGAGGAGGAGGAGGAGGAGGAGGAGGAGGAGGACGAGGGGGACTTGTTATACATGCTTAGTCTTTCCTCTTTTTCGGCCTCCGGGGGCCATTTTGGGGACCGGGGAGTCTCGAAACCGGACCCGTGGTGAAGTACTGAACCGATCTGCGCAAGACGCCGGAGGTCTGGGCTTCCCGAGCGCCCTGACTGCCCGTCGGTGGGCGGCGGCGGAGCCCCGCCTCGCCGCCTTTCGCAGCCCTCGCAGCCCTTCGGAAGCGAAAAGGCCAGGAAGCCAAAAACATAGGATTTCCTTGGGTTTCTGGCCGTTTTCTTTAGTTTCTTTGGGGCATCCGTGGACGGCTCAGAAGATTCCTGTCGTCGAGGGCTTGTTCTTGGCATCGTATGGGAGAGTCTTGGACGGCCGGGGGTATTTTGAGAGGCTCGTGGCATAATCTTGGGGATGTTTGTGAGCTTCCGAAGCCGCGCGGGGTTCTGGAACCGTTCGGGGGCCGCGCCGGACGCGCGCAGAGCCCCCGCCCGGCAAGGGACAAAGGGAAGCGGATTCCCTTTGACATCGGGGGCGGACAGAACAATAAATTATAAAAGTGCCGTCCGAGTTCAACTAGGACACTTTACTAAAGGAGTTGTCCAATCCCCGATTGACGTGCGGGACGACATGGGTCATTTCCCTAAGCCCGCTAGAGACTGCAACGACGAAGACGACAAGACGGAGACAAGACAAGGACAAGAACATGGCTCTGAGGTCAGTCCCACGCGGAAACTGCAGAACTTGGGCAGGACAGCTGCACCGCCAACTGCTGAAAGTTACGCAGACGCAGAGACAGCCACGCTCTGCTCAGGGCAGCACTGGCCCTGGCCGGGGGTCCCCCGAAGGCACGCAGCCTCGGATTGGGGTCCCAGCTCTTAGGCGCCAGGTCGTCCTCCTCTCCCCCGCCCCGACCTCCCCCGACTCCCGCCCCGACCTCTTCCTCTCTCTCTCTCTCTCTATATATATGGATTCTGCCGCGGAAGCAGCACCACTGGTATGGATGGCAGATCAGCGGCGTAACCCTGCGCGACGGTGCTAGTCGCACCACTGATCATGCTTTGTGAAATCACCCCTCTCTCAAGCAAACTGGCGAGCCGCTCGCTCTGCGCGAGCGACCTGGGCAAAGGTGTAACGAAAGAGCGGCTTATTGTGACGTTGCTGCTGGCATCAGCGTTCAGGCTGCTCCGTCCAGCATGCGCGACACCTCGCGCTCGAGCGGGCCCCGCGGCTGAGACCCGCCCACGTACTCCCCGCCCCCTGCCTCGATCACCACCGACAGGGTCTCGAACAGCCTCGCTCCCACCGTGTTGTGCCGATCTGTGTTCAAGTAGAACGTCGCCATCTGATCCGCCCGCTCTTTCTTCCTCTGCAGCTTCACGCGGCAGTGCTTCACAATGCGATTGAGGTGCCGCATCGAGAGCTTGCTCACCACACTGTTGAGCCGCCCCATGCTCTCGTCCACCGCCGAGGCCACGTCCTTCTCCAGCGTGCCCTTCTCCTTCGCCGCGCAGTACACGATCAGCGCCATGAAGACGTGGAGGTGAGGAGCCCCGCGACCACGGAAGTCTGGAGGCGCTCCCGACTCGGCTTCCTTCTGCATCTCCTTGCTGCGCTCGTCGTACCGCTTGCCAGCGCGCACCATCGCCTGCACGACTCCTCCTCCTCCTCCTCCTCCTCCTCCTCCTCCTCCTCCTCCGCCGCCGCTGGGGCGAACCACTTGCTGAAGACGCAGGCGCCGAGGCCTGCCGCCTCGCGCGCCGTGATCGGCAGCAGCTTGAGCCACTCCTCCCTGCAGCCCTCGTGCCCCGTGAGGCGTCTTCTTGGAACTCCTCCCCGTCCTGGGCCTCCTCCTCCTTCCTCCTCCTCCTCCGGCCTTCCTCCTCTATTCCTCCTCCCCCTCCTCCTCCTCCCTCCCTCATCCTCCCCCCCCCTCCTCCTCAATTCTCCTCCTCCTCCTCCTCTTTTCCTCCTCCTCCTCCGCCTGGTCATCCTCCTCCTCTTCCTCCTGGCGGAAGAGGCTGGCTCCTCCGCCCTTCTTGTCGGCCTGGCGTTTCGCCGCCGACTGGCTGTACCAATCTGGGAGCTGCAGCACGCCGCCCGAGCCCGAGCTGCCCGGCATCGCCTCCTGCGGTCGCCTGCTCGCGTGCTCGCCGCACGGAGGTCCTCCGGGGAAGGTGTTCTCGGAGGTGCCTGCACAACTCTGAAACGTCTTGTGCCGAACAATCGCTACACGGACAGTCTAAACAGCCAGCAGGCAACTCGGGAACCAGGGCAGGCGGGCCTTTCGTGAAACAGTGTTTCCGCCTGGGAGATCCCTGCAGGTGTCGATATGCAGTCTCACGGGTGGGGAAAACTTGGTAGCAGCAAATACAGACATCAGTCCTCGTCAAAGCCGAGGCGAGGCTTCGAACATGATGGGCGAAGCGTACATGATTTAGGAGGCCTTTCTTCGCAGGGAAATCGCATCCACACGAGACTCTCTCAGAAAGCATCCAACACTTAAAGTCCCTCACCTCCTCGATCTGGGGGGCAGGAGCGGAGGGAGCAGGAGCACCCGCAGCAGCGGAAGTAACAGCGGGGGAGAGAGGAGGAGGAGGCCCCAGCCCAGGAGGGGGGATCCTGACCGCAAGCTGTTGCTGACGAATTTCGTGGAAATCAATTCTACTAAAATCCTCACAGGCATCACTATCCCTAACAACTCAAGATCAGACGCGAAGGCTCCAAGGATACTATACTCCAGTCGCTCCGCCGCAAACGTGAGATCCCTCACAATCTGGAACACAAGCGGCGAGGCCTCTTCCGTGGGTCGGCCATCGCGGACCTGGGGATGCTGGGAGCACGCCGGGATGTCACCAAAGAGCACACGCAGCATAACTTGCAGGTGTCGTTGGGGCTCGGATGCCCAGCTCTTGTACGTGTTCAGACGTCGCTCATCCTCAACTCAAGCCAACCCTCACCGAAACGCCCATGGCGAAGCAGCTGCACAGTGTTCATCGGTTTGGGATGCGCTCCGTCCCGGCCGGTGGCTTCACCCAAGCATGGCCACCCTGCAGTGTCCAGCTGAAGCTTTGTCTGGCCTGGCACAGTCCGTCCCCGCGGGTGCGAACCCCCTCCAGACCTGTATAGAGGGTGTTTGCTACAAACGCTTGCAGTAAACTGCGGCGCATGCGACATGGAATCCCTGAGGGGCTCCAAGCTCCTCTTCTTGACTCTTTTCGGTATAGGTTCTACCTTGACCGTTTTCTTCTTTCAGTGTAGACATGCTAGCAAAGCGGATTTTACATTCCATATCCATTTGAATGCTTTCACCTCATTCCAGTTATCGCCAGTGCAACAGCCAATGGGTAAAGCTGCTTCTATGGTGAGCAAAGCTGCCTTAGCGAACAAAACCTGCCCCGTGCGGCCCGACTGCGATTGTCAAGTTCCTGGTGACAGCCAGCTCTACACTTGTCCCTAGCAGCCCCTTCCGGTCCTTGGTCGACCTGCCTCCTAAGCAGTTGCTTAACATGGTCACGATGCTGGCAGGAGTAGCAGAGGAACTCCCGCTTTGCCAAGATTTTGGGGCGACTCCAGCGGTGGCGAGCCACTCGTCCAGCCTCTCATCTCCTCTGCGGAGCAATTGAATAAACTCACTAAAATCAGAGCGTGAATTACCTACCCCGCTTTCGCTTCCAGGCAAAACCAAGCCATACCACGCGCGTCCTCGTCAGGTGGCCTGACCAGTACAGGCTGCAATTTGGCATCGTTTGGTATCTCTTGGAAGCGAGGGTGGTCAAAAGCGAGGTAGGTTTGCTTTTCCCCTATAAAAGTTGCTTCAGGTGTGGCCAGAATAGTCTTACGCATATCCTCAGCATACTTAGTTGAACTACCCTCCGCACTCCATGGTCCCCATGTAGCCCTAAGAGCGCGGGCTTGGGGGTGAAACTCACTAAGGGAACGGTTCCAGGCCATCACAGGCCATCGAAAGCAGTCCAGGAAACAACAAACAACAAACGGGTCACGACGACGACGACGACGACGACGACGACGACGAACGGCACAGCCCCTCACACACGCCGACAGGGCCGGCGGATTGTTGCACATGTTTGGCGCATTTTTTATAATTTTCCTTTTTTCGCCCAGCAGTCCCCTGTAGGGGGGACAGGTCCGACCTGAGCTCAGGGCACCTGGTGGTCGCAGGGGGGCCGCCGCCGCGGCACGCGAAGCGGGGAAGCTTTCCTGGCCGCAGGAGGTTGGGGGGGTGAAGGGCGGAGAGGCGGAGGGAGAGCTGGAGGGGAAGGCGTCAGTATCTTTGAGCCGATCCCCATCCCCATCCCCATCCCTTTCGAGGCCCCCACCAAATTTCCCCCCCAGGTGGGGACACCCCTCGAAGCCCGAGGGGAACGGCCTATATCCCCATCCAGGGGGGTAAGTCGGCCAATGGGGCCCAGGCCACGCCGCTGGGGATGGGGATCGGATAAACGGTGCTCGCGCAGGAAGTTGGAGGGGGAAGGGCGGAGAGACGAAGGGAGAGCTGCAGGGAAAGGGAGTGGACGAGCTTTACGTCGGGCGTGCCCCTACACAGGAGGGATACACGTTGTTCATGTCTAATTATTCAGAAGTTGCTTGAGTGTTTGGGGGGCCAAGATCCTTCCATTTCTAAGTGTTCTATCCTGGGCCTCTTCCTGACAACCAGGGGGCCAGGAACACATAGAAACGAGCACACTTAGAAATGAACACACTTAGGAGGTCGGACGGGGGAAGGGCGGAGAGTTATGTTGATCCCATCGTACTTAAGGACCACATCCCAGAAATAATTTCGAGCCCCCGGAAAAGTGTTGAAAGAGTGCCGACACAGTGTCGAAGCAGTGTCGGACGAGTGTCTCCCAGGGCCCGACACGTGAAAACCCCCGGGTTTCAGTATTTTTCTGGGGGCTCGAAATTATTTCTGGTGATTTCTGCTAAAACAGGTTGGAGCATCATAAGCGGAGAGGCGGAGGGAGAGCTGCAGGGAAAGGGAGAGGACGAGCTTTAAGCCGGGCCTGTCCTTGTACAGGAGGAACCTCCAAAAATAGTCAAAACATAGTCTGGGGACGAATGGTCGACCATTTTTTGAATATTTTGGGGCATCTTCTGACTATTTTCTATGTTTCGTCCCCAATCCGCCTGTAGGGGGACACGCCCGACTTAAGACGAGCTGGTTCCAGCACCTGAGGTGATGAGAAGAGTGGTGTGGCGCGGTGAGGCCGCATCAGAAGCACAAGTAGTCTTTCAAGGGCACCCTTGCATCCTTGCCTCTGCGGCCCATCCTCGACCATGTTCAAGTCCAAAGGTTTCAGCTTGGACGTCCAAGGGCCTGGCATCCTTACCGCGCATTCTCATGATCCAGTCGCGCTGTAGCTGATGTAGCCGAGACCGTGTCTCCGACCCAGTGGGTCTGCCCACTCCACCTTGTCGCAACACACACAGCGATGCCGAATCCCCGCGCTTCTAACCAATGATGTCGGGCACCACCCTCTTCTCTCACAGTCTCGCAGCCCTGGCCCCCACTTGGAGGCGAGGGTCGTCGGGCTCGGGCTGAGCTTCGCACTGCCCTGCCCCTCGTCGCTGGCGAGGGTCGTCAGGGGCTGGCGGAGCGTTACCCTCCCCCCTCTTGACTTGCTGATCCCGTGGCTGGGCGCGCGCCAGCCCGTGGCCGCAGAGCCCCGCTCCTCCCTCGGCCCACGGCCCCGCCCCTTGAACGTCGGGGCTGCCTGCAGCATGCTCGCCCCCCCCCACCCCCTAGGGGGCCACATGGGAACCCTACCCCTACCCCCCACGATTTCTGAGGGGAGGGGTGGGGTTCGCTTCGTTCGGGAGCTCCCAAAAACGAAGTGAACCCCACCCTCCCCCTCAGAAATCGTTGGGGGTGTAGGGGTAGGGTTCCCATGTGGCCCCCTACCCCCCCCCCCCACTCCCCCCCACCGTCTTCTGCGGGTGAGCAAGGGCTCCCACGAGGGCGCGAAGTTATTCGCGCTTCGCGGTCCTCGTTCTTTCTCCCCCCTCCTCCTCGTCCTCCTTTTCTCCCTTTGGGGGGGCGGCGCGAGGGCGCGAAGTTATTCGCGCTTCGCGCTTCGCGCTTCGCGGAGCGCGAAGCGCGAAGTTGGGAGCCCTAGGGTGAGGCGCGCTGGCCGTCGGGGCGACCTCAGCTCGCACACGTCACGGCGAAGCAGCGCCGGAGGCCCCGCCACCAGGTGCCCACGCCGCCCGCGGCCCGAGGCGGCGCCTGCGCGGGCCGTGCCGCTGGCCGAGGGCGCGCGCACGACCGCGTCCCGTGCGGCTCCCCTGGACGGGGCCGTTCCCCAGGTTGCCCAGGGGAGCTCGCACGGTAGCCGCGCAGGGCGAAGAGGAGGAGGAGGAGGAGGAGGAGGAGGAGGAGGAGGAGGAGGAGGAGGAGGAGGAGGAGGACGCCGAGCGTGGCCGGGAGCTGGGAGCCAGAGGAAGGCACTCGGGGAGTGCACGGTGGGGGCTTCTGCCGGGGGCTCGGCAGGGATGATCTACGCGGCGTTCATGTTCATGGGCCCCCCAGAGGTTCCGAAGGAGATCGAGGAGCCCGTAGAGCTGCGCTCTCGCTCACTCCTTCTTTTGATGCTTATCTTTCCCACT